CAATCAGGCAAGAGAAAGAAATCAAGGGGATTCAGTTAGGAAAAGAAAAAGTCAAATTGTCCCTCTTTGCAGATGACATGATTGTATATTTAGAAAACCCCATTGTCTCAGCCCAAAATATCCTTAAGCTGATAAGCAACTTCAGCAAAGTCTCAGGATACAAAATTCATGTGCAAAAATCACAAGCATTCTTATACACCAGTAACAGACAAACAGAGAGCCAAATCATGAATGAACTTCCATTCACAATTGCTTCAAAGAGAATAAAATACCTAGGAATCCAACTTACAAGGGATGTAAAGGACCTCTTCAAGGAGAACTACAAACCACTGCTCAGTGAAATAAAAGAGGACACAAACAAATGGAAGAACATACAATGCTCATGGATAGGGAGAATCAATATCGTGAAAATGGCCATACTGCCCAAGGTAATTTATAGATTCAATGCCATCCCCATGAAGCTACCAATGAGTTTCTTCACAGAATTGGAAAAAACTGCTTTAAAGTTCATATGGAACCAAAAAAGATCCCGCATCTCCAAGACAATCCTAAGTAAAAAGAACAAAGCTGGAGGCATCACGCTACCTGACTTCACGCTATACTACAAGGCTACAGTAACCAAAACAGCATGGTACTGGTACGAAAACAGAGATATAGACCAATGGAACAGAATAGAGTCCTCAGAAATAATACCACATATCTACAGCCATCTGATCTTTGACAAACCTGAGAGAAACAAGAAATGGGGAAAGGATTCCCTATTTAATAAATGGTGCTGGGAAAATTGGCTAGCCATAAGTAGAGAGCTGAAACTGGATCCTTTCCTTACTCCTTATACGAAAATTAATTCAAGATGGATTAGAGACTTAAATGTTAGACCTAATACCATAAAAATCCTAGAGGAAAACCTAGGTAGTACCATTCAGGACATAGGCATGGGCAAAGAGTTCATGTCTAAAACACCACAAGCAACGGCAGCAAAAGCCAAAATTGACAAATGGGATCTCATTAAACTAAAGCGCTTCTGCACAGCAAAAGAAACTACCATCAGAGTGAACAGGCAACCTACAGAATGGGAGAAAATTTTTGCAATCTACTCATCTGACAAAGAGCTAATATCCAGAACCTACAAAGAACTCAAACAAATTTACAAGAAAAAAACAAACAACCCCATCAAAAAGTGGGCAAAGTATATGAACAGACATTTCTCAAAAGAAGACATTCATACAGCCAACAGACACATGAAAAAATGTTCATCATCACTGGCCATCAGAGAAATGCAAATCAAAACCACAATGAGATACCATCTCACACCAGTTAGAATGGCGATCATTAAAAAGTCAGGAAACAACAGGTGCTGGAGAGGATGTGGAGAAATAGGAACACTTTTACACTGTTAGTGGGATTGTAAACTAGTTCACCCACTATGGAAAACAGTATGGCGATTCCTCAAGGATCTAGAACTAGATGTACCATATGACCCAGCCATCCCATTACTGGGTTTATACCCAAAGGATTATAAATCATGCTGCTATAAAGACACAAGCACACGTATGTTTATTGTGGCACTATTCACAAGAGCAAAGACTTGGAATCAACCCAAATGTCCATCAGTGACAGACTAGATTAAGAAAATGTGGCACAGCCTTTTCACAAGATGGCGCCGAAAGCGAAGAAGGAAGCTCCTGCCCCTCCTAAAGCCGAAGCCAAAGCGAAGGCTTTAAAGGCCAAGAAGGCAGTGTTGAAAGGTGTCCACAGCCACAAAAAAAAGAAGATCTGCACGTCACCCACCTTCCGGCGGCCCAAGACACTGCGACTCCGGAGGCAGCCCAAATATCCTCGGAAGAGCGCCCCCAGGAGAAACAAGCTTGACCACTATGCTATCATCAAGTTTCCACTGACCACTGAGTCTGCCATGAAGAAGATAGAAGACAACAACACACTTGTGTTCATTGTGGATGTTAAAGCCAACAAGCACCAGATGAAACAGGCTGTGAAGAAGCTCTATGACATTGATGTGGCCAAGGTCAACACCCTGATTCGGCCTGATGGAGAGAAAAAGGCGTATGTTCGACTGGCTCCTGATTACGACGCTTTGGATGTTGCCAACAAAATTGGGATCATCTAAACTGAGTCCAGCTGCCTAATTCTAAATATATATATATATCTTTTCAACAAAAAAAAAAAAAAAAAAAAGAAAATGTGGCACATATACACCAAGGAATACTATGCAGCCATAAAAAAGGATGAGTTTGTGTCCTTTGTAGGGACATGGATGCAGCTGGAAACCATCATTCTTAGCAAACTATCACAAGAACAGAAAAGAAGCACTGCATGTTCTCACTCATAGGTGGGAACTGAACAATGAGAACACTTGGACTCAGGAAGGGGGACATCACACACCGGGGCCTATCATGGGGAGGGGGAAGTGGGGAGGGATTGCATTGGGAGGTATACCTGATGTAAATGATGAATTGATGGGTGCTGACGAGTTGATGGGTGCAGCACAGCAACATGGCACAAGTATACATATATTAACAAACCTGCACACTATGCACATGTACCCTAGAACTTAAGGTATAATAATAATAAAAAATAAATAAATAAATAAAATAAAATTTAAAAAAATGAGAAACAAGTATCCCCACTGTCACCAATTCTATTCAACATTCTCCTAGAAATTCTAGCCAATGCAATAATGAATGCAATAAAGAGGCATTAAGCCCATAAGAAATGGAAAATAAGAAATAAAACAATATTAACCCAGATACATACAATGTACACAGAAATTACAATGAATCCAGAAATAAATTATGAACAGTGATTAGTAAAATTAGCAAAGTTGACAGATTAACATCATCAGAATGATAAAAACTAATTATGTTCCACAACAAGAATATTAATTATCTAGGGAAAACCAAAGACTTGAAAGCCATGACAACAAAATCACAACATTCCTGGGAAAATAAAAGAAACCCCAAATAAATTGGAAGGATAATTATATTGAGGAACGGAAAGACTCAACGTGTCAAGATTCAGTTCTTTCCAAACTGACTTACAAATTTAATGTCACCCTGACAGAAATTCCAGCCCAATGTTTTGGGAAATTGACAAACTAATACCTTTAAAATGTATTTGGAAATATAAGCACCTAAGAGAGGCCAAACCAATCTTGAAGAAAGATAATAAATCTGGAAAACACACACTGCCAGACACAAGGACCTGTTACAAAACTTTGTAGCCCCAAACTGGAAACAACACAAAGTTCCATTAAACTGCCATACATATGAGTTATGCACTTCTCTCACCCGGTGATGGTTGAGGATAAGAATGATACTATAAATTTGGGGACTTCGAAAACATGAAGTTGCAGTGTAGGAAAAACAAACTTACCTTGGGAATGAGATAGTTTCTGAATTTAACGTCACAGGTCACTGCATGGGGCACGCTGGTGGGGAGGAGGTCAATGTATCTCTGGACCTCATGCACCACAGCATCTGTGTAGGGCATGTGGCTCCTGTCCTGCATGCAGGGGCTCCGATTTCTGCCAATCACACGTTCAATCTCTTCCTGGACTTTAGCTGACAAGACACAAGTAAAAACTGATGGAAAAGGAGAAAAAATGGCACATTTGTTACAGCAATTCAGGGGTACATGAATCATGATGAAGGTATCCAAACCTCATTATAAATTTAAATTATAGTGATGGAAGTATACGCAACCTTAAAGAGAGGACTGTTACTGATGCACAAATGTGTAACTGCTATAAAGTAGGCATTAAGAAAAATCTGTACACATGTAAGCAGAGAAAATTACCTTCAATAAAGGAAGGCAGGAAGAAATGAAAGAAGGAAGAGATGTCCACGAAACAACCAGAAAACAAATAACAAAAAGGCAGGGGTAAGTCCTTCCTTGTCAATAATAACACTGAATGTAAATGGACTAAAATCTCCAATCAAAAGACATACTGACTGGATGGAAAAACAGGACCTATTAACCTGTCACCTAAAAGAAACACACTTCACTTATAAAGACACATGTAGGCTGAAAATAAAGGAATGGAATGAGACAGTACCTGCCAATGGAAATGAAAAAAAGAGCAGGAGTTACTATATTTAAAACAGACAAAGCAGATTTCAAAACAAAAACTATAAGAAGAGAAAAAGATCACTATTGGTAATAAAGTGGTCACCTCGGTAAGAAGATGGAACAATTTTAAATATATATGCAACCAACAATGGAGCACCCAGATATATAAAAGAACTATAATTAGAACTAGAGAGAGACAGACCACAATACAATAATAGCTGGAGACTTCAACACCCCACTTTCAGCATTGGACAGGGCATCCAGAGAGAAAATCAACAAGAAAACATTGAACTTCATCTGCACTGTAGACCAAATGGATCTAATAGATATTTGCAGAATACTTTATCCAACTGCTACAGAATACATATTCTTTTCCACAGCACATGGATTGTTATCAAGAATTGACCATATGTTAGTTCACAAAACACGTCTTAAAATATTCAAAGAAACTGAAATAATATCAAACATCTTCTCTGATCACAATGTAATAAAACCAGCAATCAATAACAAGAGGAAATTTGGAAACTACACAAATAAATGGAAATTTAAAAATATGCTCACAAATGAACAGTGGGCCCACGAAGAGATTAAAAAGGAAATTGAAAATTTTCTTGAAACAAATGATAATGGAAACACAACATACCAAAACCTAGGGGCTACAACAAGACCACTAGTAAGAGGGAAGTTTATAGCTACAAGAGCTTATATCAAAAATGGAGAAAAATTGAGAAGTAAACAATCTAATGATGCATCCTAAAGAACTAGAAAACCAAAAGTAAATTAAACCCAAAGTTAGTAGAAGAAAAGGAATAATAAAGATCAGAGCAGAAGCAAATAAAATTTAAATGAAGAAAACAAAACAAAAGATCAATGAAACAAAAAGTTGCTTTTTTGAGAAGTTAAACAAAATTGACAAACCTTTAGCCAGAATAAGAAAAAACAAACAAACAACAACAACAAAAAACCAGAGTAGATTCAAATAAATAGAAACAAATTAAAAAGTAGGCATTACAACTGATTCTGCAGAAATTCAAAGAATTATTAGTGGTTACTATCAGCAACTATATGCCAATAAATTGGAAAATCTACAAGAAATGGACAAATCCCTAGACAAATATGACCCATCAAGATTGAATCAGGAAGAAATCCGAAACCTAAACATGCAATGACCAGTACCAAGATCAAACAAAAAATAAAAAGTATCCCAGTAAAGAAAATCCCAAGACTGACTAGCTTTACTGTTGATTTTTACCAAACATTAAAAGAACTAATACCAATCCTACTCAAACTATTCCAAAAAATAAAGGCAAATAGAACACTTCCAAACTCATTCCATGAGGCCAGTATTACCCTGATACCAAAATCAGACTAAGACACATCAAGAAAACAAAACTATAGGCCAATACACCTGATGAACACTAATGCAAAAATCTTCAACAAAATGCGAGCAAACCAAATTCAGCAATACAATAAAAAGGTCATTCACAATGACCAAGTGGGATTTATCCCTGGGATGTAAGGATGGTTCAACATGTGCAAATGAAGCAGTGTGATACATCATATCAAAAGAATGAAGGATAAAAACCATATGATCATTTCAGTTGATGCTTTAAAAGGATTTGATAAAATTTAACATCCTTTCCTCATACAAATTCATGAAAAATAACTTGAGATAGAAGAAACATACCTCAACATAAAAAAGCTATATGAGAGACACACAACTAGTACTATACTGAATGGGGAAAATGGAAAGTCTTTCCTCTCAGATCAGAAACACGACAAGGATGCCCACTGTCACCATTGTTATTCATCATAATACTGGAAGACCTAGCAAGAGCAATCAAACAAGAGAAAAATATAAAGGCTATCCAAAATGAAAAGGAAGAAGTCAAAATATCCTTGTGTGCAGATGATATAATCTTTTACTAGGAAAAAACCTAAAGCTTCCACAAGATAATTATTAGAACTGATGAACAAATTCAGTAAAATTGAAGGATACAAAATCAATATAAAAATCAGTAGTGTTGTGATATGCCAACAATGAACAAAAAGAAAAAGAAATTTAAAAAGTAATCCCATTTACAGTAGCCATACATAAAATTAAATACCTAGGAATTAATTTAACCAAAGAACTGAAAGATCTCTGTAATGAAAACTATAAAACACTGAGGAAGGAAATTTAAGAGGACACAAACAGAAAAATATTTCATGTTTATGGATTGGAAAAATCAACACTGTTAACGTGCCCATGTTATCAAAACAATCTACAGTTTCAATAAAATCCCTATCAAAATATCAATGGCATTCTTCAAAGAAATAGCAAAAATAAATCCTAAAATTTATATGGACCCACAAAAGACCCAGAATAGTCAAAACTGTCCTAAGCAAAGAGAACAAAATTGGAAGAATCACATTATCTCACTTCAAATTATACTACACAGCTGTGCTAACTAAAACAGCATGGTACAGACGTAAAAACAAACACATGGACCAATGGAACAGAATAGAGAATCCATAAACAATTTCACAGACCTAGAGTGAACTCATTTTTGACAAAGGAGCTGATATGGTTTGGCTGTGTTCCCAGCCCAAATCTCATCTTGAATTGTAATAATCCCCACAAGTCAAGGGTGAGGCCAGGTGGGGATAATTGGATCATAGGCGTGGTTTCTTCCATACTTTTCTCATGGTAGTGAATAAATCTCACAACATCTCATGGTTTTATAAATGGAAGTTCCCCTGCAAAGCTCTCTGCCTGCTGCCATGTAAGACGTGACTTTGCTCCTCATTCACCTTCTGCCATGATTGTGAGGCCTCCCCAGTCATGTGGAACTGTGAGTCCATTAAACTTCTTTCCTTTATAAATTAACCAGTCTTGTGTTGGCTTTATCAGAAGCATAAGAACAGACTAACACAGGTTCCAAGGATGTACACTGGGGGAAAGACAGTCTCTTCAATAGATTGTGCTGGGAAAATTTAATATCCTACACAGAAGAATGAAACTGGACTCATATCTCTTGCCATAAACAAAAATCAACTCAAAATGGGTTAAAGACTTAAATCTAAGACCTCGAACTGTGAAAGTACTGTAGGAAATCCCTAGGGAAAATCTCCCAGACATTGGTCTAGGCAAAAATTTCTTGAGCAATACCCCACAAGCACAGGCAATCAAAGCAAACATGAACAAACGGGATTGCATCAAGTTAAAAAGCTTCTGCACAGCAAAAGATATAATCAACAAAGGGAAGAGACAACCCACAGAATGGAGAAAAATATTTGCAAACTATTCATCTGACAAGAGATTAATAACCAGAATATATAAGAAACTCAAGCAACTCTATAGAAAATAATCTAATAATCCAATCCAAAAGTGGGCAAAAGATTTCAATAGATGTTTCTCAAAAGAAGACATTTAAATGGGTAACAGGCATACGAAAAGGTGGTCAACACCACTGACCCTCAGAGAAATATAAATCAAAATTACAACGAGATGTCATCTCACCCCAGTTAAAATGGCTTATATCCAAAAGACAGGCAATAACAAATGCTAGTGAGGATGTGGAGATAAGTGGACCCTTGTACAATGTTGGTGGGAATGTAAATTAGTATGACCACTATGGAGAGCTGTTTGAATGTTCCTCAAAAAACTAAAAGTAAAGCAACCATATGATCCAACAACCCTACTGCTGGGTATATACCCCCCATAAAAGGAAATAAGTATATTGAAGAGACATCTGCACTCTTATGTTAGTTGCAGCACTGTTTACAACAGCTAAGACTTCAAAACAACCTAAATATCCATCAACAGACAAATGGATAAAGAAAACGTAGTACATATACACAATGTAGTTCTATTCAGACGTAAAAAGAATGAGATTCAGTCATTTGCAACAACATGAAGGGAACTGGAGATCATTACTTTAAGTGAAATAAGCCAGGCACAGAAAGACAAACATAGCATGTTCTCACTTATTTGTGGGATCTAAAAATAAAATAATTGAACTAATGGACATAAAGTATAGAAGGATGGTTACCAGAGGCTTGAAAGGGTAGTGGGGGGTGGGAGGGGAGGTGGGGATGAATAAGACCTACTCTATGATAGCACAACAGGGTGACTATAGTCAATAATAATTAAATTGTACACTTTAAAATAACTTAAAGAGTGTAACTGGATTGTTTGTAACTCAAAAAATAAATGCTTAAGGGGATAGATACCACATTCTCCATGACATGCTTATTTCACATTGCATGCCTGTATCAAAACATCTCATGTACCCCCAAACATATTTATACCTACTATGTACCCATAAAAATTAAAGATAAGATGAATCTGTGTATAAATTATACATTAGTATATATAATAATACAAATAAAAATAAAAAAATGTTTGAAAACATAAAGTAAGCATATAATTTAGTCATGAAATTACTGTCTTAAAAAATCAGGGATTGATTTCATATCAAAATAACGTATGTTGCTTAAACATTAAATTATACTCTCAGATTTATGCATATATATGACTGTATTTGTGCATCTGTGTGTGGCAAGGGTCGCAAATTGCAATGGTTTGAAATTTGTACACTTTCCAAATCCACCATTTTGAACATTCTAGCAACTTCTTCTGAACATACATCCACATTTTTAAAGACTCTGTTTCTATTTCTTACTTATCCTTTTGTATATTATATTTAATAATTTTTATTATGAGAGATGAGAATTTTAATCTCTATCTTCACCTCATATTTGAACACACCCACAGATAGACATACTCACTTTTTCACATGCTTTTTTCTAGAATATATTTGGATGACAATTTTTATGATATCAGTATTCATTGCTTACATCATTCTGACTACACAAATATGGTTCTCTGGTAAGACAGCTATGATTAAATTATATTTTTAGTACTTTCCTTGGCTTAACCATGTCTCTATTTCAATTTGTAATTTTCTGTTTCCCAAGTTAGAATTATTTACAAATGTTCAGGCAGATGTTTGAACCTCTTTTTTAGTTATTGGAAACTCCCATAAAATCTGTCACATCTCTTGTTCTTGCTGTCTCCTCTCACTTCTGAATTATCCACCAGGTCCATTCTGAAGTAGTTCTTTTCTAGGTCTGGTGCTAGGCAGCCTCCCTGACATTCTCATTGTCCTATGTGAGGTTTCCTGATTGCTGGAGCTCAGGACATTCTCTAACTAGGTTTCAGGCATTTGAATGAAGTGCATTCTCCAACATTTTTCTGAGAAAGGGAAAATAGAAGGTAAAATTTTTGGCAAACATGCAAGTTTGAAAACACCTTATTTCTATTAATATACAAGATAATATTAATAGTTCTTGAGAATTCTGAATCCTAACTCTTTCACTATAACCTGGTATAGCTCTGAAAGTTTTTGTGATTTTCCATTTAATTCTCATGCCCTGAAATTCCACAACCCTGGGTCTAGCAGTATATGTTTTCATTTCATTCACTCTGTTGGACATTGAAGATAATTTTCTGTTAAGATGGCAAAAGAAAAATGTCATTTCTCTAGATCAGTTCCCTTTCTGTGGGATAAAGCTAGCTACTGAATTTTAGGAAGCAAGATGAATAGAAGAGCTAAGAGTCTTTGAATTCAAGGAGCAGACCCGTACCAAATCTGCCTTTCAAGCCTACACCTCATGCCTTTTCTGGCACTTCCCTGTGTCCCTGAGCACAGGGCTTCTTAAATTCAGTTTCTCTAGAGAATAAGCCTCCTTTTCCATGCGGGAGAAAATTAGTTACCTGATGAAAAGAGTTGTGGAGGAAACATAGGCAGGGAGAGCCTCCTTTTTCAGTCTCACTCTCCACCATCTTTGACCCTTGGTACTTCCAAATACCAGTTGGGGGGGATTTAAGGGACACTGATTAACTTTTTGTCCTTGATAAATTTTTCTCTTCTGACATTTTGGTTACAGGTTTATCCTCTCTGTACAGATTTATCATTCCTCTATATGCTCTCTGTGTTTTAGAAATTTGTTAAAGTCTTCTTGACTATCTCCTGTACTCTTCCTACATTAAAGGACCTAAATGTCTAATATCCAAAATCTATAAAAAATGTAAACAAATCAACAAACATTAAACAAAAAAATCAATTAAAAATGGGGAAAGGACATGAACAGGCACCTCTCAAAATGTGACATACAAGCAGCCAACAAATATATGAAAAAATGCTCAACATCACTAATCATCAGGGAAATGCAAATCAAAATCACAATGAAGTACCATCTCACACCAGTCAGAATAGCAATTATTAATATTAAAAAGTCCAAAAACAACAGATGCTGGTGAAGTTGCAGAGAAATGGAAATACTTTTACACTGTTGGTGGGTATGCAAACTAGTTCAGTCACTGTGGAGACCAGTTTGGATATTTCTGAAAGAACTTAAAATAGACCTACCAGTTGACCCAGCAATCCCAATAGGGAGTATATGCCCCCAAAATATTTATTCTCTCAAAAAGACACACACCTCACTATGTTCACTGTAGTGCTTTTCACAATAGTGAAGAAATGGAATCCACTTATGTGCTCATCAACATGGATTGTATAAGGAAAATGGATTGTATAAGGAAATGATATAGTTAGGCTGGGTCCCCACCCAAATCTCATCTTGAATTCTAGCTCCCATAATTCCCACATCATGGGAGGGATTCATTGGGAGGTAATTTAATCACAGAGGCCGGACTTTCCCATGCTGTTTTCATGATAGTGAGTAAGTCTCTATCAGAGACTTATTGTGAGGCCTTTCCAGCTGTGTAGAATTGAGAGTCCATTAAATCTCTTTCCTTTACCCTGTCTCAGGTATGTCTTTATTAGCAGCATGAGAACAGACTAATACATATACCATGGAATGTTATGCAGCCATAGGAAAGAACAAAAATTATGTCTTTTGCAGGACGATAGATGAAGTGGGAGGCCATTATCCTAAGCAATCTAATACAAGAACAGAAAACCAAATACCACATGTTCTCACTTATAAGTGGGAGGTAAGCATTGAATACACAAGAACTTAAAGACGGGAACAATAGACACTGAGGATCACTAGATGGGGGAGGGAGGGAAGGGATGTGGGCTGAAGAACCATCTGGTGGGTAATATGTTTACTGTCAGTGTGATGGAATAGCTGGGACCCCAAGCCTCAGTGTTACACAACTTACCTGTGGAACAAACCTGTATTTGTACCCTTTAATTTATAATAAAAGTTGAAAAAAAATCATCTAGAACTCAATAGGCTAGTAACTGTTCCAAAAAAAGGCCTAATTCTTATTCGTAATTGGCTTATTGTCATTTCAATGGGGGATACTGACATAGGAGAAAAAAAGAATATTTCTTATCTGCAGCATAACCAAAAGTCCGTAAAAGTAAATTTCTAAAGTAAAGTTGTTCATGAAAGATAAAATTATTGACTCCCTTAAAGTATCTTACTTTGTCCAACACCAATTACACGGGAATTGTCTCAGGTACATATTCTGCCTAAATGGAACATTCTTTAGGTAACTCTTCTAGTAAACAGAATTACCTTTCTTATGAATCTAACTTTTTAGAATACATATCGGACTAGGAATTTTCTCAGGCAGACTCACTACATTTCTAGGATTACCATTTATCCTTCAATAAGGAGAGTTTCCAGTTTCCCTACTCCAGCATTCAAACCTGAAATTTTGAGAATGAGAAAAGTTATCTTCAAGAATATACTTGGTATTTAAAATGGCCTTCTCATAATAAAACCAACATACAATCCCAGGTCAATTTATCTTGTCTCTTCCTGCCAGAAATTGTTGTCTATGAAATCCAGACATACTGGACCAGAGCTCTATTGCTTTTGCTACTGACATGCTGTCTTCATTTCTCTCAGTTATCTTCCTCTACCATGCAAAGATGACCTTTTTATTTTCTTCTTCTGTTTTTTTCTTTCTGAGACAGAAAGAATGAGACATTCTGCCACCCAGGCTGTAGTGCAGTGGCAAAATCTTGACTCACTACAGCCTCCGTCACCTGGGTTCAAGCGATTACGGTGCCTCAGCCTCCTGAGCAGCTGGGATTACAGCCGTGTGCCACAATGCCTGGCTAAATTTTGTACTTTTATTAGAGATGGGGTTTGGCCATGTTGGCCAGGATGGTCTTGAACTCCTGGCTTCAAGTGATCCACCCACCTCAGCCTCCCAAACTACTGGGATTACAGGTGTGAGCCACCATACCAGGCCAATATATCCCATTTTAATCACCATTAGTTTGGAACATATTACAGTTGGAAGCACAGAAATTTAAATAATGAAGCTCCTCTAGGAGAATCATGAAGGAGGACACTAGCAACACCTTCCCAACATCTTTTTTGAAAATCAATTTACTCAATATCTGTGATCATACCTGCCACCTCTGGGTGTTTCAGCAGGAGAAGGAGAGCATATCTCAGGGTTGTGCTTGTCGTCTCTGTCCCAGCTGCAAACAAGTCAACTGCAGCGTTTTCCAAGTTTTCAATATTAAATTCAGACTGTTGGTTGTGCTTTTCCTAGGAATGATTTAATGCAATTATCTGACAAATTATTTACCAGCATATTTGATTACAGTGAATTCAAAATTACTCACATTGTTATGTAGTTACCAACATAGAAACTGGAAAGCATACTACTAGAAAAAAATACTGTATGGTGTAGCAGAAGCTGTAGACCAACTTGCCCAGGTTTTATTTCCTACCCCCTTGTTCCATGCTTGCCTTAAAAATTCCATTCATCAGGCTCCTTGTAGTTAGCTGAGTCACACAGCATAGTGTTTTGCCAAAAAATAAAAGCAGGTCTCTAGGTCCACTTCTTCTATATCCTCTTTCATACCCAAAACACAAATGTGAAGTAGGAGGTAAAGTAGACTCCATCCTGGAATTTAATCATGAAAATGAAGTTCTATATACTAAATTTAGTGGGAAAACGGAAAGCCCTTGACTTTCTACTGCTTTGGGGCTGCTGTATTATCCCTAGATTGCCCCACTGTGAGATTCCCTGTATTTGAGATAAGTAAAGACATTATGTGTTAAAGTCATTATTATCTGTAGACAACCGCAATCTAAATTAATAGAAAAAGTAAATTAGGGCCATATCATTAGATACTGTGAGCCTGAATCAAGAGTCTGCAATTATCTTCTTCTGTCAGAAAGGTACATGGACTCAATATTGCCTCCGGATTCATTACAAAGTTGAAATTTTGTAAAAACAAATGTGAAAAAAGCAATATGACAGCAAAACCTAGGATAAATCATAGAGAAAGAGAATGGGTTTCCAATAACAAGATGGGCCCACACTATTATAATCTAGATGGGAGGCAACAGACAACTTGTTCTAGGATGCAGTAGCGCAGGAATAAATAAAAAATATACAAAGTGAAGAGAAAGGACAATGATGAAGATGGAGAATAAAGCAATTAATTGTCACAGGGGATAAAGGAGAGATTAAGGGTAATGCATATGCCAAGGTTCAGAGGCTGGAATTCTCATAAATTGGAAGTTAGGAGAAAGAAAGCAATGAATAAGGAATACTTAGTTGAAAGAGATCATCAATATACAAAACATATTACTTTTTAACCAGTCCCTAGGCCAGCAATAAATTAAAGATGCTTTTAGATTCTCCAAGTGACATGGGTCATATTGAATATTGTGTAATCAACACCACTGAAATAGACTAGATCCACTCAACATGTCTACTAACTAGAGGAAGACAATCCTCTCCCTTGGTAACATCAGCTTCATACAGTTTTCTAAGCTTGTCATGTTAAAAATTATTCTTAAGTAAGAACAGTGCACTCACAAAACCAGTATTAACATTTCCATCTGTTGACTTGAGCTTGGTTATTTAGCAGTTGTGTGCCTATCCTATCTTATTAATGATAGTAGCCATATTCTACTTGCTGTGCTCAAATCTAAAGAGCACTCCTTCTACATCAGAGGCAGGCCAGGGCATTGTCCTGCACCTCACCCTCAGAAACAGACTCACAGCTACAACTCAGTCTGTGGGCTTCAGCTGCTAGTGTGTGCTACAGAGTCATAGATCTTGACTCTGTGGGCAATCTACATTCAACTCTGCCTGAGAGTGAATCTGCACCCCAAGACCCAGGTGTCACAGTACATGATTAAAAGACCCTGAGTCTAGAATGATGCCTCTATGACAATTTCACGGACCTGTATTTGTAACCCAGCACCAATGCAGCTGTGTGCATGCCATGTCAGAGCTGACATCAAAAGGAATCCCTTAGGCTAAGTCACTCCAATTTTAGGAAAATAAAAATAGGAGGATACCCAAATACTTTGATACCAAGGACATTAACAACCTACACTACTCCTGATACTGCTGCAAACTTCCATAACCTAGGCCACTGAAGCACCCAAAATTATTGCTGATGTTGACCACAGCTAGAGAAACTACACAAATACTATCACACGGCATCTATTCAAAAACTGACTTACCCACTCTTCATCACCTGCACACAAACACTCAACTTCAGATGAAAGTCTTTCTCTATGAAATCCACTCCAGAAACTGGAACAGCCATTGTCCCACCACATGCATAGACAACAATGCAGGGACACAACATGAAAAATCAAGAAATATGACACCACCAAAAAGACATAATAACTTTCAAATAATAGAACTCGATGAAAATAAAATCAACAAATATTCAAAAAAGGAATTCAAAATAATTACCTTGAAGAAACTTAATAGTGGGGGTGGCTGGCAAGATGGCCGAATCGGAAGAGTTTCAATCTGCAGCTCCCAGCAAGATCAATAAAGAAGGCAGGTTATTCCTGCATTTCCAACTGAATTACCCAGCTCATCTCATTGGGACTGTTTAGATGGTGCAGCCCACAGAGGGCAAGTCAAAGCAGGGTGGAGCATCAGCTCACCCGGGAACCCCAAAGGGTCAGGGAACTCCCCCACGCCAGCCAAGAGAAACAAGGAGGAATTGTGCCATGAAGAATAGTGCACTCTGGCCCAGATACTAGGCTTTTCCTGTGGTCTTCACAAACTGTAGACCAGGAGATTCCCTCAGATGACTACACCACAAGGGCACTGGGTTTCAAGTACAAAACTGGGGAGCCATTTGGACAGACTCCGAGCTAGCTGCAGGAGATTTTTTTCATACCCCAGTGGCACCTGGAACACCAGTGAGAGGGAACTTTTCACTCATCTGGAAAGGGGGTTGAAGCCAAAGAGCCAAGTGGTCTTGCTCAGGAGATCCTATCCCCATGGAGCCCCGCAAGCTAAGATCCACTGACTTGAAATTCTCACTGCCAGCACAGTGGTCTGAAGTTTACCTGGGATGCACGAGTTTAGTGGGGGAAGGGGCATCCACCATTACTGAGGCTTGAGTAGGTAATTTTTCCCTCACAGTGTAAACAAAATGGCTGGGAAGTTGGACTGGCCAGAGCCCACTGCACCTCAGCAAAGCAGCTGTAGCCAGACTGCCTCTCTAGATTCCTCCTCTCTGGGCATGGCATCTCTGAAAAAAAGGCAGCATCCCCAATCAGGGGCTTATAAGTAAAACTACCATCTCATTGGGGCAGAGCACCTGGAGGAAGGGGCAACTGTGGTCGCAGCTTCAGCAGACTTAAACATTCTGGCGTGCTGACTCTGAAGGGAGCAGCAGATCTACCAGCACAGCGCCTGAGCTCTACTAAAGGAAACACTGCCTCCTCAAGTGGGTCCCTGACCCCCTGGCTCCTGATGGGAGACACTTCCAAGCAGGGGTTAACAGACACCTCAGAAAGGAGAGCTCTGGCTGGCATCTGGTGGGTGCCCCAATGAGACAAACTTCCAGAAGACGGAAGAGACAGCAATCTTTGTTGCTCTGCAGCTTCCGCTGGTGATACCCAGGCAAATACGGTCTGGGGTCGTCCTCCAGCAAACCCCAGCAGACCTGCAGCAGAGGGGCTTGACTGTTAGAAGGAAAACTAACAAACAGAAAGCAATAGCATCAACACCAACTAAAAGGATGTGCACACAAAAACCCCATCTGAAGGTCACCAACATCAAAACCAAAGGTAGATAAATCAATGAAGATGAGGAAAAACCAGTACAAAAAGACTGAAAATTCACAAAAAACAGAACACTTCTTCTCCTCCAAAGAATTACAACTCTTCACCAGCAGGGAACAAAACTGGACAGAGAATGAGTTTGATGAATTGACAGAAGTAGGGTTCAGAAGGCGGGTAATAACAAACTTCTCTGAGAGAAAGGAGTATATTCTAACCCAATGCAAGGGAGCTAAGAACCTTGAAAAAAGGTTAGTCAAAAGGCTAGCTTGAATAACCAGGTTACAGAAGAACATAAATGACCTGATGGAGCTGAAAAACAAAGCACAAGAACTTCATGAAACATACATAAGTATGAATAGCTGAATTGATCAAGTGGAAGAAAGGATATCAGAGATTAAAGATCAACTTAATGAAATAAAACCTGAACACAAGGTTGGAGAAAAAAAAATGAAAAGAAATACACAAAGCCTCCAAGAAATATGAGACTATGTGAAAAAATCAAACCTACGTTTGATTGGTGTACCTGAAATTGATGGGGAAAGGGGAACCAAGTTGGGATACACTCTTCAGGATATTATCCAGGAGAACTTCCACAACCTAGCAAGACAGTCCAACATTCAAATTCAGAAAAAACAAAGAAAACCACAAAGATACTTGTTGAGAGGAGTAACCCCAAGACACATAACTGTCAGATTCACCAAGGTTGAAATGAAGGAAAAAATGCTAAGGGCAGCCAGAGACAAGGGTCAGGTTACCCACCGAGGGAATCTCACTAGACTAACAGTGGATCTCTCTGCAGAAACCCTACAAGCCAGAAGAGACTGGGGGCCAATATTCAACCTTCTTAAAGAAAAGAATTTTCAACCCAGAATTTTATATCCAGCCAAACTAAGCTTCAAAGTGAAGAAATAAAATAAAATCCTTTACAGACAAGCAAATGCTGAGAGATTTTGTCACCACCAGGCCTGCCTTACAAGAGCTCCTGAAGGAAACACTAAATATGGAAAGGAAAAACCAGAACCAGCTAGTGCAAAAACATACCAAATTGTAAAGGCCATCAACACTATAAAGAAATTGCATCAACTAATGGGCAAAATAACCAGCTGGCGTAATAATGACAGGATCAAATTTACATATAACAACATTAACCTTAAATGTAAATGGACTAAATGCCCCAGTTAAAAGACACAGACTGGCAAATTGGACAAAGAGTCAAGACCCATCAGTGTTCTGCATTCAGGAGACACATCTCACGTGCAAAGACACACCAAGGCTCAAATAAAAGGGATGGAAGAAGATTTACCAAGCAATTAGAAAGCAAAAAAAAAAAAAAGGAAGTTACTTTGGTTTTGTTTGTTGATTACTTTGTTGGTAGAGACAGGGTTTTGCCATGTTACCCAGGCTGGTCTCGAACTCCTGAGCTCATGCAGTCTGCCCACCTCAACCTCCAAAAGGGCTGGAATTACCGGCATGATCTACAATGCCTGGTC